TACAGCTGCACCACACACTGTAATCTACAGCTACACCACACACTGTAATCTACAGCTGCACCACACACTGTAATCTACAGCTGCACCACACACTGTAATCTACAGCTGCACCACACACACTGTAATCTACAGCTGCACCACACACACTGTAATCTACAGCTGCACCACACACTGTAATCTACAGCTGCACCACACACTGTAATCTACAGCTGCACCACACACTGTAATCTACAGCTGCACCACACACTGTAATCTACAGCTGCACCACACACTGTAATCTACAGCTGCACCACACACTGTAATCTACAGCTGCACCACACACTGTAATCTACAGCTGCACCACACTGTAATCTACAGCTGCACCACACACTGTAATCTACAGCTGCACCACACACTGTAATATACAGCTGCACCACACACTGTAATCTACAGCTGCACCACACACTAATCTACAGCTGCACCACACACTGTAATCTACAGCTGCACCACACACTGTAATCTACAGCTGCACCACACTGTAATCTACAGCTGCACCACACACTGTAATCTACAGCTGCACCACACACTGTAATCTACAGCTGCACCACACACACTGTAATCTACAGCTGCACCACACACACTGTAATCTACAGCTGCACCACACACTGTAATCTACAGCTGCACCACACACTGTAATCTACAGCTGCACCACACTGTAATCTACAGCTGCACCACACACTGTAATCTACAGCTGCACCACACACTGTAATCTACAGCTGCACCACACACTGTAATCTACAGCTGCACCACACACTGTAATCTACAGCTGCACCACACACTGTAATCTACAGCTGCACCACACACTGTAATCTACAGCTGCACCACACACTGTAATCTACAGCTGCATCACACACTGTAATCTACAGCTGCACCACACACTGTAATCTACAGCTGCACCACACACTGTAATCTACAGCTGCACCACACACTGTAATCTACAGCTGCACCACACACTGTAATCTACAGCTGCACCACACACACACACACTGTAATCTACAGCTGCACCACACACACACACACACTGTAATCTACAGCTGCACCACACACACACACACTGTAATCTACAGCTGCACCACACACACACACACACTGTAATCTACAGCTGCACCACACACACACACACTGTAATCTACAGCTGCACCACACACTGTAATCTACAGCTGCACCACACACACTGTAATCTACAGCTGCACCACACACACTGTAATCTACAGCTGCACCACACACACTGTAATCTACAGCTGCACCACACACTGTAATCTACAGCTGCACCACACACTGTAATCTACAGCTGCACCACACACTGTAATCTACAGCTGCACCACACACACTGTAATCTACAGCTGCACCACACACTGTAATCTACAGCTGCACCACACACTGTAATCTACAGCTGCACCACACACACGCTGTAATCTGTTTCAATAGAGTGAACACAAACTGTTGGCGTAATTCTTAAGTATATAGTGACTTCAGTAACCCCCCCCCCCCTTTACTTAACCCTTGGCTGGTGGATATTAGGGACCCTGAAAGTATATACAGAAATATGGTGCATGCCTCAACCATTTTCTATTTTGGTTTTTATTGTTTTGCTAAATATATCGATAACAAAGACAAATTGAACTGTAATTCTGCCAACGCATATTAACAGGATTTACATTGAATTATGTAAATATTTTGTTTAGTGCGATCTATTCACTCGTAATTTGCATGTATGCATGTTTGATATTTTAACCTCTTTTATTAGAAAAACTAGAGTCATGCATACACATTACTGCTGTTAAATGTGGTTTTTTAATACCAATCTCATTAGCTGATCAAATAAATTACAGAAACTCTTTCTATGCATTATACAGTATACCAATGCACCAAATCCTGCAATTTAAGTATCTGTATATTTATAGCCTAAAATTTGCTTATATTACGGAAATATTATTGAAAATTTCATGAAAAGTTCATATCATCAACTGTGATTTATTCATATTTGTGTATGTGCTTCCCTGAAAACAGACACAGAGCATAGTACAGTACTGTCACAAACTGCACATTTTTCCATGTTGCTATAAACTAAAATGCACTATTTCTTTGATTAATTAAACCTAAGTTCAGGTACATATCACATCTAGCCGCCTGGACTCCTCTACACACGTTGAATAACAAACTAAAAATGACATTGCCCAAGTAACTTGCGTGATGCAGCAAGTCTTGGCTGCACCCAAAACTATATAATGACATCACTGCCCAACCCGTCCTCTTAAAAATAACGTCACTTTTGGCTGGTATGCACACTATGGCCAAATTTGGACGTAATTTGAAATGAAATCGACTCACAAAAGTGACGTTCTGTTCCGTTTTCTATTTGAGTCGTCCGGCCTACGCGCAGAGGTTATAAGAGGACACTTTAAATTAACGTTTTTCATAACGTTTTGAAACTTTATGAGAATTTCCTGCCCACCTAACCTATCAGAGGACCCTTAACTTACTGTTGTTGAAAAAACAAATCCCAAATTTATTTTCAATTTTTTTTCATTTTCAAATTACGTCTAAATTCGGCCATACGGACAAACGGCCAAAAGCGACGTTCTTTTTAAGAGGACAGGTTGCACTGCCATGGTAATGATTTATCTTAATTAAATTAACATAATTATTCAATAAGGAACATTAATCACTCAACTGCATAGAGCGTCTTAAGGCGCTATGATCATTGTGCTTTTTTTTTTAATTAGGCCATATTTTAATGTTTTTTTAATGGTTTTCATCACAGTGACTTAAATGAAAATGGCCGAGTTTGGAAACATTTTAACATGAACATTAGCTGAACATTATAAAAACAACAAAAATGTCCTTAGCAACTGCACCATGACATTTTTGCCAATAACAGATGCAACATTGCACCATTGCCGTGGTGCAGGAGGTTAAACCATACAGAATGAAATCACAAGTACTTTATGAATCTATGAATAAATATTGAACCCATACGGTGGAATTAGACCCGCGTCCCTGCACGTGCCCGAGGAGCTCAGGAATGTGGGTTTGACTTCTTCATATAGCCTCATTATTTATTCATTAAACATGCGCCGGATAAAGATTTTATACACTAAATTGGATTCTACCCTATAAAGCGTCTTTAATAAAATTTAACAAAAGACTTAATGAAATGGTAGTGATAATAATCATCTTTGTATTACTGTATATTAAATGTATTTAATAGCAAGAATGACTATGGACTTGACCAGAATGGAAGGACTGTTATTTGGCTGGTTAGTGCACTGATATTTAGGTCTTGCATACTTTAATTTCACTTCATTCTCATCTTGCACTTTGATTTAATTCAGCTGAATTTATCACTATATTAACCCTCTCGCTGCAACACCATTTCCATGGCTGCCAATGGTCGAAATGCAACAATAAAAATAACATTTTGGAGTTAAATTTTTGTATTACAGGTGTGTGTCTCTTATTGCATCAATCTCTGGCATCTTAAACTGTGTTATACAGTATTGTTTAGAACAAGTATATTTTGATTTCACTCCTGTTTGCATATATGATTTTTGGAACATGCGTTCCCTGCTTTTATTCTTTAATCCCTCTTGCTCTAATGTTCTTTCTGTTTTGCTTTTATGTACCATTTTACAGGCAGCCTGATCACTATCACCTTGTGTGTATGTAATTACCAAAGTGTAGTACAGGATGAGAGCTACGCGCGTGGTGTCCCGTCTTCCCAGTACTCTTGTCATATAACGCTTTGTAACTTCTACCTTGTAACTAGCTTTGTAACTGTTTTGGTCGCCACCACCTTCTCACTTAAATATTTCCAACCGTCTGCCACTCTGTTTGCAAAAGAAAACTTTCTAATATCCTTTTGGCACCTTTGTTTCCTTAGCTTGAATCTGTGACTGCTTGCTCTTGAAGCTGCTGGTTTCGGGAATTATTCTTTGTCTATTTGGTTGATTCTCGTTATTATTATTTCGATTGTCATATCACCTCTCTTTCTTCTATCTTTGGCATATTTAACATCTCTAGCCTCTCTTTATAACTGTTGTTTTTCAGTTCTGGAAGTCATTTTGTGGAATGCCTTTTGCACCTTTCCAGTTTATTGAGGTGCTTCTTGAAATATGGGCACAATACAACTGCTTTTACAATACAAAAATTTGCACAATACAAAATTTTAGTCTCAATAAAGTCATGAACAGTTTCTTTAGTATTTCACCATCCAGGTAATTAAAAGCAATTCTGAAGTTGAGAAGCGCCGTACATGCTCCTTGCATAATGTGTTTTGTGTGCTCCTCTGGTGAGAGTCTACAATCCAGAACCAATCCTAGATTTCTTTCTTTGTTAAGAGTTCTTCAAGTCCTTTCCACATAATTTGTAGGTAGAGTGTGGTCTATTTTCCCCCTATTCCACATTCTATAACATGGCATTTATTCACATTAAATTCCATTTGACACATGGTGCTCTAAGCACTTATTTTATCTAGGTCAATTTGAAACGCAAGACAATCATTTAGGATTCCTATCTTCTCTAGTTGCTTAGCATCATCAGAAAAAATTGTTCATATAAATCTGTATTCCTTCCGATAGATCATTTATGTAGACGATGAACATTACTGGTGCAAGAACTGAACCCTGTGGTACTCCGCTAGTAACGCTCATCCAGTCATCTTCACTCATCTATATTGTCTCTAATTACTGCTCTCATCTTTCTATCGGTTAGAAAATTTTTCAGCCATTTCAGCAGTCACCCTGTCAGCCCTCCAGTATGTTCCAGTTTCTAAAACAACCTCTTGTGTGGGACTTTGTCAACAGCCTTTTTTAGGTACAGATAGACACAGTCAAGGGAAATGTGTGTCAAAAATATATAGTAAATACGCTAGAGGAAAAATAGGTCGGGAGTCAATACATCAGACAACCGACGGTAAGAAAGGTGGGATCCAAGAGCCTGGATAATTACACACACACACGTATAGTACATCAAATATATTCTCAAAGAAAAAAGTTTAACAGATGCCTTAGAAGTCCTTATTGCTAAATATTATCACTTGGAAACTTTATCATAAACAAAGGCCGCCAACATGCTTACCCAAACCTACTACTCTTGTTCATATCCCGTCCAATACCAAAGGAATAAAACATAGACGCTGATTTAGTATATTT